GGGGGGGGAGGGGCCCCCCCCCCCCCCCCCCCCCCCTCCGCATGCCAGATTTTCGTCTCTCTTGCTCTGCCTGCCTGTCTGTCTGTCTGTCTGTCTGTCTGGTCCTCCCTGTCTATCTCTCTACTTAATCCTTGAGTCCCTCTTGCCCCTTTCTACGATACCACTCAGTCGGCCGGCTTGTGTGTGCGTTTGCGTATTGGCACATTCTGCAAAAATATTCACGTCGTTGCTTCATTCGCCCACCCGCCCGGCTGCCCGTCCCTCGACGCGTCAAAACGTTTGTTGCACCGCAGGCCGTGCGCCAAGTGTTCAGCCTGCTAGGGAGCTCCAAGGTTCTCGGCAGCCCGCTGGGTCTGCTCTCGAACTTGCAGGCAGGGGTCAAGGTGAGTGAGGAGGGTGGTATGCACGCACGCGGCGAAGAAGGCACACGTGAAAACCCTTTTGAGTACGATTGTGGAGCATGTAAGTTGAGATGGTTGAGAATGTCTTTTGTGTTTCCTCTGTTCCTGGTAAGTAAAAAATGGGGCGGCAATATTTGCATGCGTAGTGTCGGTCGGTTTTGGTCGGTTCCTGCTTCTTGTTGTGGGAGTCCTCGTTGTGGTGACGCTTTGTGATGCTTGCCCTCCCTTTTTTGTCTGTGCTCACCTCCCGCTTATTGCCTTCGTTTCCTTTTTTTGTCTGTGCTTGCCCTCCCGCTTTAATTGCCTTTGGTGCGACAGGATTTCTTTTACGAGCCGATCGCCGGGCTCAGCCGCAGCCCCTTCGGCTTCGCCACCGGGTTGTTTAAGGTGATTGATGGCGGCGTGACAGACAGCGAGCACAGCATGCCGCAGATGGTGTGCGGTAGTGTAGCTCGCCACCGTGTTTGAGCATAAACATGCTTAACGGTTTTAGGATCGTACAGCAGCCAACAGGTAGAAGAATTAAACAGTCGCTCACGGGAAAGAATAAAGTTGGAGAACAGATGGCAAGGGGTTGAATAGGACTCAGCGGGTGCTGTGATGTGGCGACGTGAATAGTCAGCTGCTGCAGCAGCAACAAACACTCCCAGTACATTCGGTAGCCCTAATCGCATTTACCGCACGTTCCTCTCGCCAGCTCCCGTCTTCGCTCGTCTGCTCGTTTGCCCTCCCCCCCCCGCATGCACACGCCTCAACCATGCGTTTTCTCCCTGATTCGGATCCTCCACCCCACACACACCCCACACCTTGTCCCCACTACCTCGCCTCCCCCCCCCCCCCCCCCTCTCTCTAACCCTCCCTCCTCTCTCTTTCTTCCTCTCTCTCTAACCCGCTCTCTCTCTTCCGCTCTCTCTCTTTCTATCCCCCTGCCTCCCTTACCTTACTCACCAACCCTCCCTCCCTCCATCTCTCTCTCCTCCCTCTTTCTCCCCTCCCTCCTTCTCTTTGTGTCAGGGCACGTCGAGCCTCGTCCGGCGCACCCTGTACTCGGTCACCGACACCACGGACCGCATCGTGTCCTCGGTTTCCTCCGGCATTCTCGCCTCCGGTGCGGTCGACGTGTCTGTTCGCGGCGGAACTGGTGTCGTCAGGCCCTTCGGCGCCCTCGATGGTGCGTCGTTTTGTCGTCTTTCGTGGTATTTTGTGTTTTGTCCGCAGCAGTGTGCCGAGGTCCCTCCTCCAAAAGCAGACTGACGCACTCTCGCTGACCACCTTCGAAAATACATAAGATCAGGTTCTTGTTGTTCTGCTGTCGTTTTTTTTTCTTCTGTTGTTTGTGCGGAAAATGGCGTTCATGGTTGCCATCCCTCGCCGTGGCGGTGTAAGGAGGGAGGTAGAGAGGAGAGAGACAGAGACAGAGACAAACAGACAGACAGACAGACAGACAGACAGAGACAGAGAGAGAGAGAGAGAGAGAGAGAGAGAGAGAGAGAGAGAGAGACTGGCGGTACAATATTCTCACGAAGCCCCCCACGCCTCACCACAAACCCAACGTTTGCCTTCCTGGCTTTTCGGGTGTTCCGGTACATGTGCAGGCGTGATGCTAGGGGTGGCGGGTGCCGTGCGCGAGCCGCTGATGGGGCTGAGCCTGGGCGGTTTCTCGGGCATGGCCACGGGGCTCTTCACGGGGTGGGTGGGTCTGGTCCTGAGACCTACCTACGGCGCCCTCATGTCCACCTCTCATGTACGTCGCTGGAGGCAGACAAGTTATTTACTATTATACGCGACGAAAAATGTGTGTGTGTGTGCTTTTTTTTTTTTTTGTGTGTCGATGTCGCCTGTCCCTTTCCTGTGTTGTCTCTACACCACCACCCCAATCTCCCGGTTTCTACAACTTTGACCGCCGTCATATTTTGGTAGTTACGAAGTCATATTTTGGTAGTTACGAAGTCATATTTTGGTAGTTGCGAAGGTTTTTGGCCCTTTCAGTTGTGAGGTTGCTGCTCAGCGACATCTCTGTTGCATCGACCTGGCTCGAATGGACTCGAAAGGGGGTCTTTTGTGTGAAGCACTGCTTTTCTCGTAGATACTTGCCGGAGAAAGCGAAAGCAGAGAAACATGTTCTTGACACGTTCGGTGGGCTGGCTCCCTAAGGATTACAAGCAGAGAGAGGCGTGTGTGAAGATGGGGCTTGAATGCTTGCTCCCGGCCCACGCCATGTGTGTTTTCGTCCCCAACCATTCGCCAGAACCCACCTAACCAACCCATGCCCCCCCTGGACCTACTCACTCATTCCGCGGGAGAGCAGCTGTGTCACTTCGTGTCCGGGCAGCTGGACCCCCGGCTGGACAGCGAGCAGAAGCTGCGCATGCTGAGGACCCGGCCACCAAGGTTCTTCCGCTCTCGCGAACAGGCACGAAAAACTCTTGTGCTACGGTAGTAGCACCGTCACACTACCAAATAACACCTCTATTTTTTGGGGGGCAAAGTCTCTCCGCACGATTGGGGAGGGGAGGGTTGATAGTTTGTTTTTTAAGCTCATGCTACGTCGGGGTTGGCGCTGGCTCGTAAAAGTAGAGAGTAGCCCGTTTTTGAAGATGAGAGGGCGGCAGCGGCAGCGGCAGCGGCAGCTAGTTGTCCACAAGGATGTAGCTGTGTCTCTGCCTGGTGTACAATGTGTGGAGAAAGAGTTTCGGGGGAATCAGCGTTTCTTGCAGATACGGATGACAAGTGCGGAGGGTTTAATTTATGGAGAGATAAGGATTCGGAGGATCAAAGACTCTGTGCTCGAGGATTTCCGAATCGGGTGTGGTCGGTCTATTTGGGTGAGAAAACGAAAATTTGTTTGTTCGCGCCGTTCGTGCGGTCCGTCCGTTCGCGTGCTTGCCTCTCCTTGCAGGTCCTGTCCGTGTACTCTCGGTCGGAGAACATCGGGGTGGAGCTCCTGTCGCGGGTCCACATGGGGAGGTACCGCTCGGACGGCTACGTCTGGCACGCCGCCATCGAGGTGCGTTTGCTCGTGCCATCCCCATCAAGGTCGAGGGAAAATTGTTCTCTTGGACAGAAGGGGGTGTTGATCTCTCAGTCCTCACGCTACGAGTATCGTAGTTTTGTCAAAAGAAATGACGCGAAAATCCGTCTTTCCTCTTCCACCTACACGATGTTTCCGGTGGAACGTAGGTGTCCAATGCTATCGCCTATCGCCCCGCGTCTCCTCCCTCCGTCTTTGTGCGACTTCCGCAGGACATGATCGTGCTCGTCACCGGCCGCCGCGTGCTCATGCTCCACGGCGACGGCGGCGTCAAGGGCAGCGCCGCCGACACCACCACCTCCTCCTCCTCCTCCTCGAGGAGGAGACACACCTACGGTGTCGTGGAGTGGGAGGTCGACTTCAGACTCGTGGTCTGGCTCGAAATCGGCGGCGGGGGAGGTGGGGCGGAACCGCTCCCCCCCGCTCCGGCCCGCAAGCCCCGAGCCAGAGGCGGCAGCGGCGGCGGCGATGGCGTTGGCGGTGGCTCGGAGGAGTCTGCTTTGTCCATCTACCACTTCCCGGACTTGGCGGCCGAGCCCAGTGGCAAATGGGGTGCTGGTACGTGCGAGCGTGTGTTTATTGTAGTATGCGGACGAACATGTCCGGAGTTGGTTCTCGGGATTTGGCGCCGTAATCAGCGCACTCGCGAAAACTTGAAACGTCTTGAAAGGTCTGTCTCTCTCGGCGTGCTGTCCCGTAGGTAAATAGATGATACTTGAAGTGTAGAATTGAATGAACGGCGCAAGGCTTGCATTGAGCGATGGATCCACCACCAACCTGTTGCCACTCCGTGTAAGGGGTGACTCTTTCTTCTTTTTTCTATTGCAAGCGTGCGCTCTTGCAGCTTATGTCGGGCGAGCGCCCTCTTGTCTTTGTCATGCTCTTCCCTTTACCCAACCCCTCGAACCGTTACCTTTTCCTTGGAGGGCTTTCTGCACACACACCCTCTTTTGCCATCATCCTCCACCAATACTATGAACCTCGAGTCCGTGTGCGCTACTTCCTTACACCGCTGTTGCTGGTGTGTTGGATCGGGTTGATATCTTGTACGAAACATACATTAATAAATCGTTTAAAAAAAATCTACCCGTCCGAGATATGCCCACATATTTTCCATTTTCTTTTGGCTTTCTCACTCTGCTATTCACTGCAGGAGGTGGACGGAGAGGAGGGGGAGGAGCAAGCAACAGCTCTGCCGTTGCGGCGATAAGGCTCGAGCGGCGTGTGGTGGCGTGCGTCGACCGCGGGCAGGCGCTGCAGATTCACGGGGTGCTCTCGAAGCAGGTAATGCGTATGCATGCATTGCTCGTGCCCCCTTTGTCGTAGCAAGCATCTTGCCTCCTTGACCCCTCTCTTACGTATGCCGGCGTCCTCTGCATGAATAATAATTACCCCAGCGGTGGAAGATTTGTTGTGTCAAAGCCCTGCCCACTTCATCCAAGCGACTTGGTGTCGTGATGCAACAAAAATGCGAACGTGAAGCGCGGGCCGACTGACTGCGGAGTGATTGTCGCGACAGACACTTCCAAGGCTGTGTATTCTAGAAATCGCCGCAAAATCTCCCGCATGTGGTCTTTTCTGTTCTGGGAGCCCGGCTGGTTGTATCCCAGAATGCTTGGAAAGTAATAAAATAGATTCTGACGTGGAATTAACGAGACGGCAAACGACTTCCCTCCCTCGTTTCCTACGTGTCTTTTCCTACCACTAAGTGCGTTTTTTTGTGTTTTTTCGCTGCGTTTTGTTTTGTTCTTTCCCTTGCAAGGTCTCCGCCCACGGCTGCTGCTTGGCCCCTTCGACTCGACCAATAGGGGGGGCCGAATCTGACGGCGATCAAACGGTCGGGGTCTAGCCAGTCGCCGGGACAGCAGAGATTTATGGAGGGGAACCAGGGGCGGGTGGGGGGGGAGAGACCACCTCACCGTACTGTAGTCGCTCCGTGCGCCGTTTTCACGTTCTTGTTACGCGTTGTAACATAGGCTGAATTTGTCTCGGTAAGGAAGGGGGGGTGGGTTGTGGTACACGGCGGGGCCAGTGACGAAGACATTCCCCACTATAGGCGGGACAGCGTGGGGTGTACGATGGGGTCAAAAAAGAGTACAACAAAGAGGAGGAGTGTGGGCACCAACCAACTTTAGAAAAAAAAAACGGGCACCATGGCCCAGGTATTCTGTGTTTTGTCTTGTGTAAGGGGGGCGCGACGCGGCACACGCCCTTTTCGTTGCTGAAAATAGGCCACTCAACGTGCCGTATTTTGGTGCTGGCGGGGGAGAGAAAGCCCCGTGCCGTCGGTGACCGACGTCCTCAGGTGTCACTGCCGTAGGATAGACAGTGCGTTTTATCTTGGATCAAACCCTGTGGTATCTACCATAATGTGTGTGACAATGCATAAACACAACATTACAAAGGGTGTCCAATTTTGGAGGCTCAAAAGGCATGGGTGTCCGTCGCCTCTGCGCAATATTGCGTCAGCATCTCGCGCTGTCCAACAAACACCCCAACTCCGACACACACGCTTGTACCTTCACGAAAAATTCCAGAACAATTGTGCTCTCCGCTCCGAGCGATTCTACCGGCCCATGAGCTCAAACCAAACAGGGCAAAGAAACACGTTTGGTTCTCGCAACCCCCCGCTACCGCGCCCCCTCCGCTCAGTATGACGGGTCTACATCCCCCAAGCCGACATCGTTTTCCTGCCAGGGCGTCGTCACAACCCCTATCGCTTCTTCTAGGCCCAGAGGCAGCAAAGCCTGCACGGTGTTCTACTCGACGTCTGGGTCAGCGTCGACGATGGCCGGGAACTCAAAGTCATCGTCATCGTCATCGTCGTCTTCGTCGCCCCCGCCCAGAATAGCCGACACTGGTTGCTGCGTTTGTTTCACGACGGCGGGGACACCTCCTCCCTCGGAGGCGGCGGCCCCTCTCGGAGCTACCACTGCTACCTTTTCCTCCTCCTCCTCCTCCTCCACCACCACCACCTCCTCCTCCTCATCATCTTCTTCCTCTTCTTCTT